GGGGAGGGGGGGATGAACTTCAGCCGTAATGAGCTCGCTTGCTTGCTTTAGTGTTATTGGGCAGGATGTGTGCTGCAGTGCTGTGCGTGGGGCCATTTTATCTGGCTGTTGCAATGGTGGCAATGGCACCTTGAGGGGGTTTTGTGGGGTCCCAATTGAGAACCCCTGGTATAGACTATGGATCGTTAAAATACATGTTGGGCTGCAGGAAGCCTGATATTTTGGCTGAGTACACACAGTCAGAAAGTCCAAGGCTGAATCAGTTCAATCTTCGCAGTTTCGTCTAAGCTGTGTGGATTGAATTAATAAACGAGTGAACAGACATTCACTTTTGATTCCAGAAATGCAGCCACCTGCCTGCAATGGCCCAGGCCAGAAGATGGGGTGGTGCTAGAGTACGCCTCCCTGCTCGGCTGGATCAGACCGCTTGGGCCAAGGCTAGCTCACCCGCCCTGTGCGGGGGAGGGAGTGTTGCGGGGGAGGTGCAAAGCATCCTGGGATGATGGGGGACTATGAGTTGACTTGAATCTGGAGGGGATCTGGGACAGAAATTCAAACTGATTTAAACTTAATCAGTTCAGTCTGATACTACATCCATCCAGGTTTATCTTAAACTAGTTTTGGTCATTTTGAAAGCGGTTTATGCACTGAATCCCCTTGTTGTATTACAGATGTGAACTGGTTTCAGATCACTTATACCGGTTTATTTGTAACGTTTGTCCCTAGGCTTCAGCTTTGGAGGCTTGTTAATTGCAGGTTTCCAAAGCAGATAATATACATGTAGACATTAACAAGCAAACCTTTTATCCCATACCTAGCTAAACTGTGCATCTCATGCTGCTTTTCCAGGGATCCTGTGCCTGAAGTAACTTGCTCAGTTATTAAATGTTGAGTTCCGCCCCGATTTCTGCAGTGCACGTACCATGCAGAATTCATTTATAACCTGAAAGAAAGCCCTCGATGGTACTAATTCCATTGCATATGTTAAACGTAACCCGGGCAATAAATATGGGACAAGAGCTGTGCTTGTAACTGCACCTTGAACACAAGCTCCTTTCACCTCTCCTGCTTCATATCTAAGTATGAATTTGAAGTAAGGAGTGGGGCAGCTGAAAAAAAGGAAAGGGGTGGAAATATTTGAGAGGAAGATTTTGAGTTATCTATTAATTTAGCAAAACCCCCAGTAGCCTGCCACTGGGACTGAGTGGTTCTGCTGTGTATATTTAGTCCTAGTAGAGCTAAAGCACATGCTTAACTTGATGCACAAGTAGTCCCATGAATCAGTGTCGCTGTCATAATTGGTGCTGAAACTTGAGCTTATGTTATTGGGACCTTGCTGGATAGAGACCACAATGCAGCTGGCAGTATTCCCGTTTATTTGAACATGAGGAAAAAGAAATATATGCTTGCCGGTGTGATTTTCTTTCTTTGGAGTCAATTCTACATTCTGTTGCACTTCTGATTAGAGGTTTGTACTGTTCTATTCAGGGATCAGTCGACTCACGAGCCATAGAAAAAGAGAAAATTTCCTAAGGATCTAAGCAACTGTCAATCTACTATTATTAAAACATGTTTTCATTCGGATACTGGCTTTTGGTTTTGAATTTTATGGTTATACTGTGAATATGTTGTTTTTAACAGATTAAAGGTTTTGTGCGGAAGACTCAATCTGCTATTCATCTGAGGCAGAACGGGAGTTATAAACTTCTGACAACTGAAGATGGTTTTCCTGTGGATACAGTTGTTCCTGCTTTCGTTTGTTGGCTGCCTTGGAGGTAACAATACATGTTTTCTAACTTCCAAATCTGAGCTACCTCAAATCTGTGTGTGCTGTTTTGTAGTTGTTGGTTTTGTTGTTTTTTTTTAATGCACTGAGACAGATCATTTAGAAACTAAACCTACACTGAAAAGCTTAAAATAATAATAGCGTACTAAAATCATTTCTCTCCTTTTTTTTGTTTGTTGCATAGGCCTGTACTTTCAAAGCTAATAGAGGTCATGTGATAGCACTGCAGAGGCTTGCATTGTGGATATGCTAATTTAAAAGAAAAAATAGGGTGCAGATTAAATTTTAGCTGGGGAAATGTTTACGGTGAGTCTGTTACCCAGACTGGTTGCTTTATCTTTTGTTAAAAGTCTTGGTTTATTTCAGAATGGGTTTGCTCCTAAAGGAGAAAACTGTATGCTAATTCACGACTCCTAGGCTGTTTCTTCTCACTGTGGCAGGCAGTACCGCAGCTCAGTCGCAATGTCGGGAACTCCTGCTCTCTTCTTGTTCTCACCTTTTTCCTCTGCTGTTTTACTAGTGACTCAGTAAGGTCATTGGTAGTGGCAGCAGCAGCCCCAAACTTTGCTTTGCATTTAATGTGTTGGGTGTTTGTTCTAGTTTTTAGTCTTCAATAATATCAGAAGGGGAAAGGAACCCCCTCCCCTCCACTGTGTCACCCAGGATTAAATCCCTTCACCCCAATGAAGCCAGGGCATGTCAAAAAGCTGACTTGGCTGAGAGTGCCCATTTGACACCTGCACATGTTCTTCAGCCAGCTATTACCATGCTTTTAATTGTTGTAGCAGTGCTTATCCCAAGGAAGGGGAGTTTAGTGGTCTGATTTATTGTGACTTCATTCAGTAAAGGTCCCAGAAGGACTTGAATCTGCAATGAGAGAAAATTTAATCTGCATTTAAATTGCAGTGTTGTGATTTTTGTGGACACTGCAAAAACCAGCGATCTCCGCGATCACCACAAAAAATGGCATTTGGCTGTGATTTTCCTCTGGAATTAACCCTCTCCTCTTCCCCCTCCCCCCCCCCCCCCC